GGAAACCACGTGACAAGCAATCGAAGTGTGAGGGGTCGCAACCGTACATGGGACTAACACTCCGTTCCGATCACGGATGTGAACGGTTCAGTCATGAAAGTTCACCGGATGATCGGCGCTACGCAACCAAGACATGCCTAGAATCATGTCGAACTTGGTGTCGAGGATGTCAAAAGACACCGGCTCGCACGCAAGTGGCGCAAAGTAGACCGGAACGCCGTCGACGCATCGGTCAATTGACTTTTGCGTGCCGCCGTCCGCGAGTGTAACTTGCGTGGGTTGCGTCTTCCTTCGAACGCGCGGGCCATAAAGGCTTGGTTCATAAAGTTGCGAGACGCTCCGCAATCAATCAAGGCACTACAGGTTGCCTTTCCGATTTGAATGCGGATATAGAGCAAAGGCGCGTCGGTTTCGGCGTACCTTTGGGTGGCGTACTCGCGGTCAATCTTCGCAAGATAGGAGCGGAGATCGACAACCACTACCCCGTCGTCCGTCAACGGAGCTGGTACTGTAGTGTGCAAATAGGAGCGTAGATTTGCCGTTAGGGCGTTGCAATGCAGCCTTGGCAAGGTTCCGGTCGAGGGTAGAGGCATCCAAGCGCAGTCCTCTCTCGTGAGCGGGTCAAGCTCCTCAAGTCTTGACCACGCCGTCGAGTCCTCGGAAATCAGTGGCGAACTGACCGGATCACTTGCCGACGCTGTACAGGCTGCACATACGCAATCTAAGTGCACGTGGCTCGGCTGGTCTAGTGGTGGTACCAGCTGGGCGGCATAATCCTCGTACGTAGCACGAGAATCAGCGACTAACGCATGCTCCCCGGTAGTGACATCGATTGCTAGCAAGGCAACCGGGTCCGGCGGAGTGAGGAGAGGCGTCGCCCCTCTCCTTGCGTAACTCAGTTTCCCGTGTTGGCTGGACGGGGTACGCGTGTCGTGCCCTTTTCAGGACATTGTGCGGTCAAATGAGTGACTCCATTGCACCAAAGGCAGTATCCGTACTTTTGACGAAGGTCATAGATTTCCTTGGTGATCTTGTATGCCGTCCATGGTTGCTGCCCAGTTCCCGTCGATGTCGTCTCTTGTGTCGCCTTGTTCTTTCGAACTCTCTTGGGACGCTTCGGCGGGAGCGCTGCTACAATTCCTCCATCACTCGAGGATGCTGCTGCAGCGTGGAGATCGACTGTTTCTTCATAAATCACGGCATTGTTATGTGTCGGTCGTTGATAGCCCTCCTTAGCCACATAATGTGGTTGGGACTGCCGTTCGTTTGCGGCCTTGTCATCCGTTTGGATGACCAAGTTCGCACGATCCAGGATAGCCTAGAATGAGGCGTAATCGTAATCGTTGCCGAGTGCGGTTCGCAATCCTGCGCATGATCGCGAGAAGAACTTGGATCGTTGATTCGTAAAGCTCAAATCAAAGCCTGGCGTGGTCACTATCTTCTGCCACTTGATTGTCCAGTCTCGAGTTGGCATGCTTCCTTGTGAGCATGTGTAGACCTCGTTCATGGCCACCTTTACGACGTTGCGGACCATGAAGCGAGTGACTCACAGCTGTTCAAACTCCTCCCACGTGAGATGTTTGTGTAGCTCGGCGATCGTGGTCTTCTTGCTAACTGCGAGGTGGTTCATCCATGCTTGTGCCCCTCCAATGAGTTGGAGGTATATGGCCTTCATCATGTCTTCGGCTGGGACCTTGTGGCATGATGCTTCCGTGAGGAAGGCTTGCCACCATGTCAAAGCGTCTGTCTTGTTGTAGTCCTCAAACTTGCCGATGTTGAACCATGGCATCTTATATACCTTCGCAGCTGCTGCCGGTTGCGACTGCAGCTTGGTGATGTCCGTCTTGATGGCGGCCACCGTGCTGCTGATCGTAGCCGGACCGGTGAAATCACTGAGTTTGTCGATGATAGTGACGACGTGATCGATGCGCTCGTTGAGCTGCTTCGTCGCGTCTGTCGTGCAGCCTGGCGCTGCTGAGGCCTTAGCCTCGATGTTGTTGACGCGCGCAGTGGTGGTGCTCAACAGCTGTTGCTGTTGTTGCTGATGTGTGGCGGCAGCGTGAACGGCAGCTGTTAAGGCTGCAGAATCATTCTGCTGAATCTGTCGCAGTTGTCTGCCCTCGTGTATTTGCACCATTAACATCGTATTGTTCCACATGATCGCTCGCATCATATTCAACATCAGGTTAGCCAGGTTGCTCCTTTCTTCCTCCGCCGGTGTCGGAGCCTGGCTTTCCGAAGGCACAAACAGCATGCCTTGGAGCATTGTCGTCCACTGACTCTCATTCATAGTCAAGGACTCTATGCAAATGGCGTTCCGCTTATCTCGTACCACGGCGTCAGCCTCAGCAGTCTGCTGAGCTTGGGCTGCCGCCTCACTAGCCAGCCGCTGACGTTCCGCCTCTGCCGCTTCCTCCTGTACCTTTGCGGTAGCTACGGCATCAGTGAATGCCTGTACCCGCTGAAGGTAAGCTGCCAACGGCTCACCGGCCCCTTGGACCGGGCATGCGGGAAGAACCCCGTTGGTAGCTGGTACTGTCATTGCTGTACTTGATGCTGCTGGAGTTTTCCTCTTGCTGAGTCGCTGTTGCTGAGCCTTGGTTCTTGGAGGTACCACAGGGCGGGTACGAACTGCAAGCCTGGTACTGCGTCGTGGCAGTGCCCCGGTGTCCTGTTCCATCGACATCAGTGTGAACTGATGTGGTACTTGAGAGGTCCCGGTGGTCACAGAGTACGGGGAGGGTAGGGAGAGTGGGAACAGGGGTAGAACAATCAATCAATTTGCATACAGTCCCATGTCCCACTGATGGACTGTAGACACCTAATCAAAACAGAAAAAAAAAAATTTCCCGTAAACAATTCCAAAAATTCGTAATAAGAAGTAATAACGAATTATTTACTCAATAAAATTAATTAATGATAAATAACGAAAGAATAATTCTTAATGGTAATCAATACAACAATATTTGCAATAATAATAATCAATCAAAACAATATTTGCAATAATGATAATGAACGAATTGGAATTGTTATTAAGATTAGGTATCTGTTGAGATCAATTATGGTCCAGGAGTTCACCGTTAATTAGTGAACTACCCGGAAGTTGCAATGTGAGGGTCAGATTCGGATTAATATGCCAAAAATTTTCGGAAAAATCTGGAGAAAAAACACTCGAATTTTCAAAAACGTGAATTTTCGGGAATTTCCACCGTCAAAATCCGATTTTTAAAGGCCTAAATCCGTTTTCGGAATTTCTCCAACAAGGGAAAAGAAAAGAAAAAAAATCGCGAAAATTTCGGGCCCAACCCTAATTTTCCGCGTTTCCGCGGAATTTCCGGTATTACGGTTCGAAATTCCCAAGTTGATCGAACAACCAAAATTTCGTAACCCTAATTTCCAATACCGAAGAAAAAAAACGGAAATACCAAAAGAAAAACGAAATGTAGGATTTACAACAGAATGCCGAAGTTAAAAACGGACTGCTGAATGGAAATCAGAATGCCGAATTTCAACAGGATACTGATTCAACCCTAATAACGTTTCCAAATCAGAAATCCGAACCTAGCAAATTATCGGATTAGTATCAATTAATCGGAACCTAAATAAACAGCATACAGGAATAAAACAGAAATCCGAATTATAAGTCCGAATACCGAATTGAAACGGAAATGCCGAAATAAATAGAATACCGAAGAAAAGAAAAAATTTTGCAACTTTGAACTTGATAGTAATACAGCGCTGATTTGGAAGATTTGAAGCAATCTAACTCCTAAATCAGACTTACCTGGTGAGCAGATCCGTAAACTGGTCTGCTCCGATACCAAAACTGTTACATACTTCAATGAGTTATGGGCAGAACCAAAGATCAACCAATGTAGGATGATCATATATACAGCGGAAGTCTGATAAACGGACTGACTCACATAGATATCACTCCACACACATACAATCGTGAGATGGTGGGGTCTGAGCCATACATGGACGATGCTCAGCCCCGTACACACATACACAGATGAAGGTGGGAGGAGAGACGAAGGAGGTGGGATATGTAGGTAGCACCAAATATCACCGAGATAGAAACCAGTAGGTCACCGATATGGTATCCCAAAATGTCACCGAACAAGATCAAAATGTCGAAGACAATAAGTCACCAATGTCGGAGATACAGAGTCCTAATGTAACCGGTGTCTAATCTGTGATGCAGCCGAGTATCATCCCCAACAATCTCCAAGTCTCGAACCCGGTAAGTACCACAGCCTCTTACCACCGAAGTCCAACTCTGATCTCTGTCGAACTAGTACAAGTCTCCAGTCTGAAGAAGAAGAAGAAGAAGAAGAAGAAGAAGAAGAAGAAGAAGAAGAAGAAGAAGATGAAGTCTGAAGAGAAGAAGAAGAGGAAGAAGAAGAAGAAGAAGGGAGCCGAGGAGGAGAGAGAGAGAGAGGGGACTGACGATGGGAGGGAGGAGAGAAACCTCCGACTCCCTATACCTCAGGCGGCTATGGCCGCCGGTACACTCAGTCGCCGCTGCTGCTGCGCTAATGCTGCGCTGCGCTGCTCCTCGCTGCTCCTGCGGTAAACATAGCGCCAGCGCTGATTCGCGCCGTACCATACCGCACCGTTAGAGTGCCGGTGGGTCGATAGCCTCAACGAGGCTGGACCGGTACCTTTCTACCGGTGGGGCAGGGGCCGACCTCAACGCTGCGAGGCCTGGCCGTGCCCTGAACCGTCAAGATGGACGGTTCAGCCCCAACCGGCGGGTGGCAGCGGATGGATGTGGGCCACAACGAAAATGCAAAAGGCGGTCAAATGCAAAGAAGGGCGGACTGGGATCAGGGGGCTGGAG